GGGCTATATCCTCTTTCTCACCTTCATTTTCCGACCACTGTTTCTGCGCTTCCTCCGCCAGACGGGCAGTTTGCAAAAAGGACCCAGTCAATCCGTGGTCGCCATCACGCTTCTCATCGCACTGGCCTCCGCCTTCTTTACCCAGATCATCGGCATCCACGCCATTTTCGGCGGTTTTATAATCGGCCTGCTGTGTCCCCACGAGGGCGGTTTCGCCATTAAGCTAACCGAGAAGATTGAGGATCTCGTCGCTGCGCTCTTCCTCCCACTCTACTTCACACTCTCCGGCCTCCAAACCGACCTGGGCCTGCTCAACACCGGCACCGTCTGGGGCTACGTGGTCGGCATCATCGCCATCGCCTTCACGGCCAAAGTAGCCGGCGGTGCGCTCGCCTCGCGACTCTGTGGCCTCCTCTGGCGCGAGAGCTTCTCCATTGGCGTGCTCATGAGCTGCAAAGGTCTGGTTGAGCTGATTGTCTTGGTATGCCCCGTCCCCTTACCTCATCCCTCTATCCACCTCCATTAACCCACCCAGAACATTGGCCTTCAAGCCCGCATCCTCAGCACTCGCACCTTCACCATGTTCGTCGTCATGGCCCTAGTAACAACCTTCGCCACCACCCCTCTCACCGTCGCCCTCTACCCAAAATGGTACCAAGTCAAAGTTGAGCGCTGGCGCCGCGGCGAAATCGACTGGAAGACCGGCAACCCCATCCCCTCCGACGCCCGCACCGACAGCATAGCCCTCGCCAAACAACAGCAGCGCGCCCTCCCCGTCCGCAAACTCCTCGTCTACCTCCGCCTCGATGGTCTCTCCAGCATCTGTACCCTCGCCGCACTCCTCTCCCCGAATCGACCCCCTCTCCCAAAACAACACCCTGACACCCTCGCGTCACCTGACCCCGCCGCAGAAGAAACAGCCACTCCCGCCAACAAGACCGAAGAAGAAGACCAAGACGAAGACCAAGATCCCAAACCCACCCTCCAAGTCCACGGCGTCCGCCTCCTCGAACTCACGGACCGCGACTCCAGCGTCATGACCGTCTCCGAACTCGACCATCTCCACTACCCCCTCTGGGATCCCGTCGTCAACACCTTCCGCGCCTTCGGGCAATGGCACGATCTTTCCATCGTTGCCGGCGTCTCCGTCGTACCCGAGCACTCTTACGCAGATACAGTGGTTAGCATGGCCCGCGATGACTCGACGGATCTGCTTCTCCTCCCTTGGAGTGAAACGGGGTCCATGTCTGAACATCATTCACTGGATCTTAGTTCCGTTCTTGATGACCCGATCGCGACCCGCTTTGTGGCTTCCGCGCCGTATACGGCTTTCGCGGAGAGTGTGTTGCGCAATGTACGGTGTAATGTGGGGTTGTTGGTTGAGAGGACGCCGAGGATAAGGAATAATGGGCGTGGGCTGCGCGATAAGCCCTCGCTTGGGGGGCTGAGTATACGTAGTGGTAATTTGAATCTGGGTGGGGGAATTGGTAGTGATAGGGGTCTTGCGGTGGTGCCGACGACCAGGAAGGTGCATCATATCCTATTACCGTATTTCGGGGGCAAGGATGATCGTTTCGCGGTTAGGTTGGTCCTGCAGCTGATTAGGAATGATCAGGTTACGGCGACGGTCGTGCATGTTGTTATTGGTGCGGGTGGGGTTGCAGCGCCGAAGGCTGCTGTTGCTGCTGGTGTTTTGGGAGGTGTGAGGAATAGGAAGAAGGATGGTGGAAGTACTAGTAGTAGTAGTGGTGATGGTGGTGGTGGTGGTAGTGGTAAGAAGCGTGATGTTGATGACTCGGATGCGGTGTATCTTGCTGCGCTGAGGGATTCGTTGGATGAGGAGGTGGCGGCGCGGATGGTGTTTAAGAAATTGGTTCTTGCTGGTGGGATCGAGAACAGTAGTAGTGGGGTGGTGGAGAGGGTGGTTGAGCATGTCAAGGGGGAACTGGGAAGATTAGGGTCTGGCCAACGGGCCGGTGGGTTGGTTGTTGTGGGGAGGGGGAGTATGGGGGTGGATACAATGGGGATGATGGAGATGAAGATAAGGATGGGGGGAGAGGAGTGCTGGGGCTGCTGGGAGAGAAGCTTGTCAGGATGGGTGGTGGGGACGTGTTAGTTGTGCGGGCAAGGGATTCCCTATGAGATCTCCACATATGATAATGTCCAGATACCCTTGGTTTACTTTGATCTACTTTGTTTACAGTGAAGGTAACAGTCATAATTATGTTCATGAAAATCTTTTTTTTCTTTCTCTGGATTCAGAGTGGGTAACATATATACTTGGTCAATCATAACACCCGACAATCTCATATATACACATCAATAGTAGTATCTATCCATCCGAACCGGGGACAGACAGACCGACAATAGATCAATGGGGAGAGGGAAGTAAGACATTTACACACCCTGACCAGCAGAGTCGTTGTGGCCCTTCTTCTCGCCATCACCATGCACGACCAGACTAGCGAGCTTACTCCTAGCCCGGAGCTGAGGTCCGTACCAGAACAGCACGTAGGGGATAAGGGTCAAGGCAGAGGCAATCAGAGCCAGGATCAGACCGGCATACTGGGAGCCGACGTTCTCGAAGAACTGAGAGGCGAACAAGGGAGACACCGCACCCAGGGTGTTACGCATGAAACCCTGACCGGCGATAGCAGAGGAAGAGCTCTCGCCGTAGCAATCGGAGGTGAAGCTGTAGCAGGACTCGAAGATGAAGAAGATACCGATGGCGATGAGGACCAGGGCAATGACGGGAGCGATCCAGGGCAGGTCGGCGTACTGGGTGAAAGAGTAGATGAAGAGACCGATGGGGAGCCAGACAGCGCCGTAGAGGGCACCGTAGAGACGAGCCTCGGGGCGAGCCTCACCAATTTTAACGAGAGACTCGTACTTGCGGATCTGGAAGAAGTTGAGACCGAAGCCCATGGTGGTACCCAAGCAGAGGGCGATGTAGGGGAGACCGGAGACACCCTCGTTCCAGCCCTTCTTATCTTCGAAGGTGATGGGGATGACGCTGAGGAAGAGGAAGGTCAGGAACCAGGCGAAGGCAATCCAGAGACCGAAGGCGAAGACGACGGGTTCGGTGGCCAGCATCTTGATAGCCTTGACGGAGGAGTTGTGAAGCATGGTCTTGAGGGAGGGGGCTTCCAGGTCGTTTTCGGTCACATAGCGGTCGTCACCGGTGTGAGTGCGGAGGGCCTTAGCGCGCTTGCCAAGGGCAACGCTACCACGGGTTTCGGGGAGGAAGAAGAGGATGACGAGGCCGAGGGGAATGTTGGCGAGACCCTGGATACCCTCAACCCAGCGCCAGCCCAGAGCCTGGTCAATAAAGCCGGCGTAGATGGGGGCACCGACGGTACCGAAGATGGCGATGAAAGAGAAGGTTGCAACGGGGATGGCGCGGTCCTCCGGGCGGTACATGTCACCAAAGGTACCACCGACCAGGATGGTACCGACACAACCGAACAGACCGAGCAGGGCACGGCAGACGAGGATGGTGCCGATGTTCTTGCCCAGGGCGAGACCGATGAACATAATGGCGAAGCAGAAGTAGGCGCCTGTGTAGACGACACGACGGCCAGCCAGCTCACAGAAGGGAGCCAGGAAGAGAGGAGCCAAGGCACAGGTGAAGTTGAAGAGGAAGAGACCGAGTTCCGCAATTTCTTCGGAGGTGCCCAGGTCGGAGGCCATGTCGCTGATACCGGAGCTGTAGGCTGTTGTGGCAAGACCAATGAAGAGGGTCATGAGACAGAGAAGGGCGCTGATGAAAGCCTTGTACTTGGGGTCCCAGTTGAAAGGGTTCTCCTTGTCTCCCGGGACGAAGTCGAGGACGATGTATTGGTTGCCGTCCTGAACCATGCGTTGGGTGAGGGTCACGGGAAGGTCGAAGTCAACGATTTGGAGGGGGCCATCTTGGGCCGAGCTCTCGTTGACACCCTCGAGGTACTTTCCACCGGCCACGCGACCCGACGCCGTTGAAGCAGTCACGCTGGAGGGGCCGGGGGAGGCATTCTCCGTATGGGTGGAGAGGGCGGGTTGGGACTTGTCCATTTTGTCCATGTTGAAGAAGAGGAGGAGGGGAGGGAGGAAAGGGAGAAGGAGGAGTGAGAGAGGAAGTAAAAAGGGTCAAGAATTGCGGGAGATGGGGGGAATATAAAACAAAAACACGGGGGAAGGGGGCAAGCCCGCAAGCCGGTTCAAGCCCGTGGGTGTAGACTCCGGTTTTTCCCTCCTGTCGGTCCACCTGCGCATAAGCGATGCTTCGATATCCTTCTGGGGTGCGTCATAAAGTCGGGGTGGAAACTGGACGGTGGCCCCGAGGCTGGAGAAGTCTGACTGCCCTGCACGAATGATGCTGGCCAGGGCTAGGGTTGTGGACGCTTGTTGTCCACTTGTCCTGCCTCCGCCATCCAGGCATCATATTGTGGTTCAAGTGGGTCGCAAACTCTGCGGTCGATCCATTCTGGATCGGTTGATTTGGGGTCTGAGAAACCTCGGGGAAACTTGCCCATCACCTGCCTGTTCCTTGTCAGATCAGATTTTTCATCTTTCGGAGAGAAAATCTCTGCAAGCGATTTTATCTGCCTTGGAGAACTGCTCCGAAATGTTTCTTTAACACTGATATATCCTCCTACACTGTACAGACAGCTCTCATGCCCATACCCCTTATTGCGGGAGGGATGGGTGATCCTCGGAACTCGCCCGAGATCAGATCCATAACTTGGATCATCGGCCAACCCTAAGCCAACCGTCAACCAGTCGGCATCCCGAGAAAGGCAAGTCAGCCGTCGGGCCGACTCGGAGCCTTGCCACTCACTGGGTCCATCCCACGCTTTTCGGGGACGGTCTCGGGTTGACCTCGGGGAAAAGACCTCACCGCAGCTAAACCGGGAAGCAGTTGCAGCAAGTCGTATGCACGCCGTGTCTCACGTTTGCGCACCACGCCGACTATCCCCAGTGTCAAGGGTCAGACCGGTAGTGATCGTGTATCTTCTCCAGGATTATCAACAAACTTAGCCCGCCTCCAGACTCCAGACTGTCAATCCTTATATGGGTGTTCGCCGGGCTGAGCTAGATATCCTTGTAGGATTCCAGAACCTCTGGCGAAATTAATCATTTCCGGTTCAACTGAAACCTCGTAGTCTACAGAAATCCTCGGGGCCCACCGGTCCAAAGCAGTTAGTCATGAGCAGTGTACGAACCAGCTTGGACTGTGCCGACCAAGCCGGCTGACCTGCCAGGAGCTGCACCTGGACCACTTGGATGCGTGTCTCGCGCCTCGCGTAGAGTTGATAGTGCCAGACTATAGCGTCAATCTCACCCTTTTTCCGGCAGACGTTTAGCCTAAACTCGTGTTATTCGCGCTTCACAACTCTGACAGGAAATGCTAGCCGGGTAAGTTTTGCTGCGCTGATTGTTTGGCAATTGACACGTATGGGTTCAGAGCTCCACAGCTCCGAATAGCTGCCAGGATTTTCGGGTCGGGATGGAGAAGTGAGGATGCAGATGGTTGAGCCACTGAGGTGTGAGGCGCCGAGTTCATCCGAGTCAGACACCGGTCAGCATCGTGACGGCATGCCGTGTATGCCGTGCATAAGACGGGGGCAGTTGCCGTCGCGAAGGATGCCGAACTATTGCAACCGGCTCGGACATGGAGTAGACAGTGGCTTGGAGATATGTCATAATAGGGGGTAAACCGGCATCTGAGGTTGTCGTCCATGGCGAGCATGAGTGGCCTGATGTAGGAGACGATCTCATAGTAACGTTGATGGATGGATGCCGAAACCTGTAATGAAGCCATGGTGTGAGGAGAAGAGAGCAGCCAGAAGCCGCAGTGGTGAGATCCTTCACATTGACCGGGAGAACATAATCTCCGATCAGCAAAAGCAAATATCAACAGTTGGCTGGATGGTGTAGTTGGTTATCACGTATCGTTAACACCGATAAGGTCCTGGGATCGAGCCCCAGTCTGGTCATCTCTTTTTGCCCGTTGAATTTTTTTTGGAAACTATCGCTGGGCTTCCGTTTCCGTTCTCATTTTTGAGTTCGACCTTGCCACACCGGGACTAGCGCTGAAAAATATGCATACTGCAAATAAGTCTAACCTTGTTGGGTCTCCACCCGTTGCACCGCCCTCGGAGCCAGCGCCGAAAGTGGTCTAGTGCCATTCAGTTCTAGTGATTTCTGACGGTTTCTGTTGAATACAACCATCCAATATCTCTCCCTACGTCATTTGTGGAAGAAGAACCACGGACTTGAAGACAACAGAAACCACGTATGAGGCCAAGGAACAGGGACAGGGACAATCAGGAGACACCGCTTGTTCCCTGTCATCGTCCTCCGTCTCATCATCATCACCACGATCGCAGCAAAATTTCAACCTTGTGGTGGCTCCACCGACGTTGCAATTTACCCCATTTAGAAACCCATACGATCTCTTCATGGTGATTATTCATGCCCAATATCCAAACTGCCTTTTCGTATCGGTTGATGCGACCAAGAAGACGCCGAGCATATGATGCGTACATCACTCAAGCAACCTTGCCCAACATCCTCATTACCTCGGGGCTGCCTAAACCTGGTTGTTGTGCTCCTGATCTTCAGATCCCGCACTGTGTGATGGCCCCGTATGGAAGCATTGTCAGTGGAAGTTTGGTCCATCGGTGGCAAAACTGTCACAGAATTTTCTTTTGCCCTGTACAGTAATGATGTGATATTAATCAGCACCCAAACCACACTTCTCGGGTGCTCCTTCATAGGTTATCATAACTTCAAGGTCTACCCTTAAATAACACCCAACGGTACTAACACAAGCCATAGTGCAAAGCACAATGAACTTACTGATAGTGACTCGACATGATCTTGTTCCAAACTCTGGTACTACTGGAGTGGTATAGACAGTTTATCCATCGCCTTGTTTGCTGGAATTTTGGTACCAGGCAGATATATATTTTTGAAACGTTTTGTGGAGATGATGGAGCAATCCGAAATTTCACCTCGAACCCACAAGCAACCTCAATCGTGTCCGATGCGGGATTTATCAAAACTCTCACTGACTAGCAAACGAACCTAGTGTTTCTCTAGTTGATATACTGCCCACTCAACGTGTGCCAGATAAGGTTTTGGAATGCCGAACTGGGTACTAGGGTGGATTGTACCATGGAGTCTAAGTACACGCACCTTGACCACGTCGAGAGTGGAAGGTATCATCGAGTTAAGAAGCAGCAAGATGTTCGTAAACAGAATTTGACTGGCTAGATGCTACACATCTAGCTGGAAGATTCACCGCGACCAATATCGCAGACCAATTGCAGATACATATCCTCTTTTAAATAACTGCCGCATATGCCAAGGCACTGGTGCTGATTGTGATCCTACGCTCTGACTCCTCAACCTGTAGCTCAACACGCATACGGTATAAGGAATCACACAAAGGGTACACAAAAGCCAAATATACTGGAAAGATGCTTTGTTTGTTCATCTGGTCAAATACGAAAATCCTCACACTGACTAGTATAATACCTACATGTACTGTCTATCATCCTTGGTGTAGTGACGGTCCAGACCAAAAACACCACGGTTGGGGAGTCATCTTATGATTCCCTCGTCAGGGATATCCCAGACTGTCGAATATTATGGCTCTGAGGCAAATTTTGCCTTAGTTTGGTGACGTCTTGCAGCTGGTCAGTGCCATTATCGGCATTAATGTATAAATGAAGAAACATAAAATCTGCTCACTATAATATGAGCATGCTGCAAACTCCTTCATCACTTACCGGTTGCAACATTACTTCATTTTGCATGGATTGATTCATACAGTTCACCCCAAGGTGCTGATTATATTTGGAACCAGATTTGTTCCTGTATTCATAACCCTTCGCCGAGCTTTTCCTCCTGTTATTAGACCATTTTTTCCATGCTGGCGTGGAGCGTGAAGGTGTTCATTGTGGATAGCTATGCGATGATGAACTAATTCAGAATCAGCATTACGCCAGTACTACTAGAAATAAATTTGCTAGTCCAATGCAGGACTCAGGCTTTGGAGCAGAACCTTATCCATATCAGAGTGTCTTTCACCTAAGGTCCATCAGTGTAGGTTGCCATATCTGGAGGTCAATAATAAACTTGCTTGTCAGAAATGAGTTGATGTTGTGATATCACATGCAGACGACTGTAGTTGGATAAGCCTCGCCGAATAGCTACTGTCCTGTTACATGGAGTACGGTATTTTTGGTCGACTATGAAGAATTCAGTTGGGAAATCGCTCACCAGAAATGTCAATATATTGCTGATGAGTACCCAGTAGGATGGGAGCTACAGGGGGAATTGGATTTAACCTGCCATCGAAACCCTGGAGTACAATTTCTCAGGAGGCCTAGATTGATCAATTCCTCGAGGCTGCTAGAACGCAGCACTTGTTGCCAGCTAAAACCGATTACTTACACTAGCTATCATACATCATATACCGCAGTCAATATCGCAGGGGGAAGTAGAGGTAGTTTCCCTTAACTCTGTGGCATTTGAAAAATATTTTCTGGGGGTATACAGTCAAAGAAAATATATTCTCCAAAAACATACACTGAAGCCTGGTTTCAAGCCCTTGGGGCCAGACTGAACTTTAAATGACTATGCAGGCCTCTATTCACTAGATGATTACATATGTACCGAGAGACTGATATAATCCCCGAAACCAAGAAATCAGAGAAGGGATTCACTTTATCTGAGAATAGGTCAATAGACCTATATGATTACGAGTGACAACAAGAAGAAAAATCATGAAAAGAACATGTACATGATCTATGGTAAGCTAAAACAACAAAAAAAAAAGGCATCCAAAAAACAAATCCCTCAAGGGGATTCGTACCCGTGCGCTACTATGGAACTGGGTGGGATTAATAGTGCGAATGTGGACAACCACTCGACTATTGGGAGGCTAACATAAAAGTAAGAGTATGAAGAGTGTCTCTTGACTCGCAATCCCGCGGTTGTACAACATGACTTCTTAGCCCTAATTGCTGAACTCTACCATCGCGGCATCACGTCCACTCTTCATAAGTGGTCATGTCTAGATTCGGACCTACACATCAGATTCGGGTCACTGAGGATCCCTCATACTGATATAAGGTATCAGGTACCTCTGTGCACCGACGGGTGGGTCAATCATTAAGCTATGGATACCACATTGTTTGCCTGCCCCTGACATTCACGGAATACGATCAAGATCTCCGATACACAGCGGAGATAACCCCGGACATCGATCTAAAGCCGGGCTCAAGGCCCACGGTTTGTGGAGTCAAGTGCCGGCCTTCCGCAAACTGCATTTTGTGCTGTCACTATCCTTCAAACGCAGGTGAATTTAAGGTGCTACTGCGATAGATCTCAAAAGACAGTAAACCATCATCAGTTCACTCGAACTCTCGAAATATGCCATATATTACACAATCCGGCCAACTACCCTCACTGAATAGATCGAACACCCCAACTTTTGAGGCAGCCAAATCTGAGAAGGCATCCGTGGTTCATCTCGCCGCCCCACCGCACTAAACGCTCGTCACGCCCGTATATCCGAATTACTCACCATAACTCTGCGAATCTCGGATATACACAGCCAGAAAACTGCAAGAAATCGGATATAGCACCCCGCAAGGACCCTAACTCTAATATGCCACAGCGGGTCCGGATAGAATACGCGGCAACGTCTCGACCTGCAGACTCCTCTCAATGGACGCTAACGGCGCGCTTCAATTCCGAAGGCGAACCAGCGCTGAAGAAATGACAGGGGGTTGCTTCAACGGTTACTAATGTCGGTAGTGGAGTCTCTGTCTCCTTTAAATAGAAGAGACGGCGCCCTCCCCCAGAGGAAAAGAAACTTGAGTGATCCTGCAGGAAAACAAACAACCGCCTTACCCCAGATAGTATATCAAAATGGTCACCACAACTGCAATCCCCCTCATCATCCACGGCAAAGATATCCTTCTCTCCAACAATGACCGCAAACACCCCATCACCTCTAAATCCGCACCACACCTAAAATCTTTCCAAGGCGCAACCTCCGATCTCGCCGTTCAAGCCGTTGAATCCTGCGCAAGTGCCTTTCCGACATGGTCGCAAACACCTCCCGAGGAACGTCGACGTCTGCTTCTCAATCTGGCCAGGGTAAGCCGCTCGGCACCCTAGTTATGTAATTCAGAAATAAATCCGTCTAACAAGAGATAATAAAGCTCCTCCGCGAAAAATCCAGCACAATCCAAACTCTCATCAAAGATGAAATTCACTGCACACCACTCTGGTCCCAGCTCAACGTCGAAATAGCAGCCGGCATTGTCGAGGAGACTGCATCAGTAATAACAGACGCTATTAGCGGCACGATCCCTTCATCGCAGGGAAATACGTACGCGCTTGTCATGAAGAAGCCGCTCGGTGTGGTGCTGGGCATCGCGCCGTGGAACGCACCGGTGATTTTGGGATTGAGATCGGTGATTCCGGTAATTGCGGCGGGTAATACAGCGATTCTGAAGGTGAGGATTGTCACTGTATCTTAATCCACTGGGGGGGTTTAATTGGTCGCTGACAAGAACAGGGATCCGAATTGAGTCCCCAAACGCATTACTTTCTCGCTGCGCTGTTCAGAGAGGCAGGGTTCCCGCCCGGTGTGGTGAACTTTGTTCTCCATCGGCCGCAGGACGCAGCGGAGATCTACGAGTGTATGATCCAGCATCCAGCTGTGAAGAAGTGCAATTTCACGGGGTCGACGCAGGTGGGACGTGTGATTGCGTCCAAGGCGGCGATGGCGTTGAAGCCAGTGCTGTTGGAGTTGGGTGGTAAGAATCCCGTCGTGGTATTGGAGGATGCGGATCTGAATCAGGCGGCGGATGAAATTATTGCGGCGGGTTATTTGAACGTGAGTATCTGCTTCTATTTCGTGACCTGTATTGGAAGGCGATGTGTGCTAACGAGGTTGAACATAGAATGGCCAGATTTGCATGTCGACTGATCTCGTCTACGTTGTTCAGTCCGTGGCGAAGGAGTTGACCAAGAAGATCTTAGAGCGCTTGCACAGCGAAGATCGGCCACACAAGGTTATCTCGGCGGCGGGTCGAGCTCGTCTTACGCAGTTGGTGGAGGATGCAAGGTCCAAGGGTGCTGTCATTCACCAGGCTCGCAACCCTCTCGCTGAGGATCCCTTGGCTTTCCCAGCTACGGTGATTGAAGGTGTCACGGAAGAAATGGAGTTCTATACAATTGAGTCGTTTGGCCCGGTATTTGGCATCATTGCTGTTGAATCAGCAGAACAGGGTCTGCAGATGGTTAAGCGGTCCGCGTACGGCCTATCGTCGGCGGTGTTTACGCGGGACCATTTCAAGGCTCTGGGGATGTCTGCAGATATTGCCGTCGGAGCGGTCCATATCAACGGAGGCACGGTGCATGATGAGCCGACGTTACCGCACGGAGGAGTGGGAGACAGTGGATATGGTCGGTTTGGAGGAAAATGGGGTTTGAATGAGTTTTTACAGACGCAGACTGTGATTTTGAATCGGGTTCGGGCTTCCTTGTAATGCCGAAAGTGGGATATCCGGTTGGTTCGCATAAAAGACGTGAACTGGTTATAAATAATAATATCTAGCAAGTTGACAGATAAAATACACTGTTACCACTTCAAGCTCTTCTCTACTAACTTGAATAACCACACAGTCCTCTTGATAGCCTGAAAAAAACACTGTTTCCCATCGACTTCCTTGGCGAATAACTGTGACCTTTAATCACTTCTTGGTACCACCGTCCTAAATATAACTAAGACTCCACTGCAGCTTACCTCAGCTCAAACAGTATAAAATTCTTGGAAGTATTACTAGTGTCAGAAGTATGACTCCTGACAGTTGTGTTGATGCAGTCCGTCGGTTACAAGTTCCAACAGTCAAAGATAGAAAGTTTCAATATCAGCTATGAAATAAACGAAAGAGCTGACCATGTCCCTTGTGCAGTTCCCTCTTGCGCCAATTCCACCAGACCCCGGTCTACAAACGATCACTTTACCGAAAAATTCCTTCGCAAGTCTTCAAAGAAGCCATTGCGCCAATGTCCAAGTCGCTCTCTGCTACCGGGAGGACCGGAACTCAATCCCACTCGTTTGCGAAAGAGTCCTCTTTCTACCAAGGGCTGCTCCAACACCCGTGAGGCCACTGGCGTAATTTATGATGCGCCGTAAAGTCGATATAATCTGTATTTCGTGGCCATGGTCCCACCTATAGTGGGCGACGGAGTACTGAGACGTTTTGTCAGCCCCCATTCTCTATGGTTCCTGGTCATTTTCTTCGGTTTCTACTTACTTTGCTATCGTTTCCCAATCGGATGAATTCCCAGATGTTGCTGTCAGTTGCAACACCGTAGATAGCCGTGTCGTGACGACCGGTCGCTCTCCGGGCCTGGTGTAGCATCGCTATTGTTCGTTAGAAAGTAGTCCAGCAAACAATGAAGCTGAAAGTGGGTTAATCGAATTAATTCATCGCCAATGTTCAGAGCAGGAAAGGGGATAGTTGCAAACGTTGAGGCCGAAGTAATATGTGTACTGACCGATGTAAATGAGAGTCTGTTCCATGCCCACCACCCCCTTCCTCTTCGCCTCGCACACGACAAGATTTGCTTCCATCTGGCCAGGTTCTCCGTACCACAGTGAGTAATCGGTCCTACCCGTTACTAGCCACCTTTTCTTATTGGGAAAAGTCCATTCCATCTTCATGTCCTTTTCAAATTGCAAGTGTACAGATCGGACAGATTGGGTGGACGAGGAAGACATCCGATTCTGGTTTGATCTTTCCTCCCTCTTTGCTGCGGCGAGGGTGCTGAAGAGCACGGCATCGATTCGGGCCCGGGTATGTGCCTCATTAAGCGGCGCCCCTTCTGTCACAATATCTATATCACGTAGGGTCTCTCCTGCATTCATTTAGTAAAGAGTTGATATAGTAACGCTCGGAAAGCGGCTCACTGAGATGTTGGGGGATTGCGATGCGATCCTTCGCCGATTGAGTCCAGTTTCCACCGGTTGAATCCACAGAGATGCCGAAGGTCTTCTCGACATCTTCAGGCTTAATACTAGTAACTGCCTTATGAGGGCAGGACGATCCTTGACCTTGCTGTCCTTGGCATGACTCTGTCTTGGCTAAGTCGAAATGTCTGGAGTTTTCTGAATCTAACTCTTTCTTCTTCTTTTCACCGATAGATCGGGAGATGGCGGCCTTAATCCTGGCCTCGAGACGGTTAATTATCGCCTCCATTGCTGGCGCTTTATCTCGGTTTTAGAAGATGAGGTTACTTAGAAAGCTGTTGAGATTTTAGGATGGTGATGGCGAAAGAAAGAAAGGATGATGGAGTCGATATTTCGTCATGATTTATATGGGTGGTTTATGACAGCGCATTAACCTCATACTTCAAGCTTTCACCGCATCTCTACCTCATCTTCACTCATTTTTGTCACCATCATCCACTTCGTCCTTCTAAATCCCTTTCACTTCTATTATTGTCGCACAGTACAAAATGGATATGTATGATCCCAAGGATATAGGGGTGGGGAATGACATGACTTCCCTTGCACCTTATTTCAGACTTGGTCTCGATCTCACTCGGGCTCAGAATGAAGATGCGGAGAAGCCATGGCAGACTGGCCAGAACCTTACCGATGTTCAAATACCAGAATATCTGGGTATGTGATGATTCCCCGAAAACTAGATCTAACGTCGCTTCTAACTACTACTTTCAAAGAGACTCTATTGGAGGACTTTGCTTTAGGGCTCGGTTCTGGAGACTGTGACGCGAGATTGATTCGGCCTCGACTGAGTGCAATACTTATGGTGTTGTTGGCCAAGGTCATGAAGGAATCTTGCACCAGTGGAGTTGACGACGAAGATCCAGCAACTGAGTCTGCGTCCAACTCCGAGCGCCCTTCAGTTGACTATTCAACGCCATGCTGGATGGTTGACCAGAAACTCATTCTTCCACCCCTCACTGACTTTGAAACTGATACTGTGGAGATTACTATGCATTTTCTTCTACTGTACGGCTGCCACCCAACTTTGGACACAAACGTCATTGTGCTTAGGAAACAGACCATCTTTCCTGATGAGGGCTGGGGAGTCCTTGCAGCCATGTGTAAGTTCATTCGTACTTCCTTGTCATTTTTAGAATTGATGGATATTGACTTCGGTCGACCAGCCGCGATTCATCGCCAGCGGAAAGAGGCAGGCGATAACGGGGACATTTACGGAATCCATACCGATACATATACTTGGAATTTCTTCCACCTGAACGATAGCGGGAAGGTACGATCTCGGACCCTCTTGTTTTACCGTTTCATATCTCATTTTTCGTTTGACTGAAGCTGGATTTCTACGATATAGTATTCAACCAAATTGGGTTTGTCCTGGTACTTGGACCAAAAGGAGGTCATCGGTCGCATCTGCCATATAATAAGAGAGGCTGCAACTCTCTCCCGAAAGGTAGGAGGTAGGGATCCTATGCTGGGCGTCTTTGAGTCAGAGACCGAAGAAAAAAGTGATGACGAGAAGTCTGATCAATGGTCGCTCTACTAAGGGAAACGTTGGTGTGGTGTATCGGGTAGAATCTTGCTTCTATCAAGTGGTTATGCTGCTGTGTAATTGCTATTGAACCATTCTGTCTGATTTCTATCTTTCCGTCATTGGCAATATATAATTCAATCCGGTTCAGATTCTTCTACCTGGAGCCTCATATATAGGGTACTAGCTTTACAGGTATTCCATTATTGGTATGAAAATATAACCCGAAATATTCTTGGAGCACTTAAACGCGAAGTAATCATGAAAAAACCAATCTTACAGTATAAGGAAGTTATCGTCGTAGCTAAATCTACCCAAATCAGCGAAAAAGTAAAGCTTATGCATTTGTCGCTTTGGATGAAACGAACATCATCGGGTATGCATTGGAGGGTTTCAAATTCTCACAGTTTACCTATGATATGCTGAACCACGTCCGCTCAGATCTCGATAGCTACTACGCGCAACGAGTCGAGTCTTGGGGCCAGTCCATGCAGTCACTCAAGGGTGTGACCTACCCCATTCCCAGTGTCAAGCAGGACCTGCGAAATCTTACATCCGACAACAACACAATACAAGTTGCTATCAACCTTGATACCGTCAACACGAACACCAAAGGGCTTATCTTCGGGGAAGGAAGGGTCGATATCCGACTGATGACCATCCGCTGTTTTATCGATGGTGCAAAAACAGACACCGGGTACCTCGATCTCAACCTCGTACACACCGGCCAAGAGGCCATCGTCGATGAAGTGGGTACAGTACATAACTCCGACCACCAGCCGGTGGTGACAAACTTTCGCTACGTGATCGAGACAAAAGACTACACAGGCCCAGGAACAGTAGATGGCATCATAGGCACAGCTTCCACTGACGACCAGTATGCCATGGTTGGACCGTTCACTACATGGCAGATCGTGATCAATTCAGCCAACAACCCAGGTCTGGATTTATCGGAAGCCAAAGACCCGTACCTCGAGTTCGATATTGAAATCAGAACCCGGCCATAGAGAAGCTGCCAAGCTTTGTTGGCTCCCTGCGCTAATTCTGTCTGACTTTTGCTTCTAAACTGAAAGGGAGGTGATATTCTCCGAAGTGACCGTTGCATAGTGCAACGCGGCCCATCAGCTGGTGCCGTGTTATCCTTGTTCTGTCCTACATGTCGTTGCACCTGGGGTTGCATGTATTTATTCGTGGTCAGTCTCCGCAGCCCTAGAACTTGCGTTGCTTTTATTCCGGGTGATCGGGTGCCAGCCCATTGTCTGTCCTACATGTTGAGTAAAGCGCTACGACTTCTTTTTCTTCTTCTTACATGCATATGCATTGAGCTTATTATGGTATTTATTACAAGTTTCTGTTAGTAATTGCGTATTTTATGCTAATCATTCGACACTTTTGAAGCACAGCTTCTAAGCACTCGGATTTATTTCTTTGGTCAGCAAGATCTACACAGCATATCCAGCGTTTCGGTAACACTTAAAGGAGACCTACAAACTGTATTATTATTTGATTATTGTTAGTTTTCAATCTTAGTCGTATTTAATTATATTTTCTTTTGGACGATATAAGTTTAATTATAAGACATGAACGAATTCATTACCTGATTGAATTGTGGTAAAGTATTCTTAGCATAGCATAGCCTAGTTTAAAATCATGTCATCATTCTTAAGGTTTACACAGTATTGCGCAGCCTTACCCCTTAGCAAAAATGCGGATTTACATAGAGGACCGTAAGCAACTACATTGCCTATTTCGTAGAATTCTCAACCAATTTCCACATACCCCTTCCAATCAATAGCTGATGTGAGAAAGAACAAGTGTTCATTCACCAGCAAGCCAGCCAGAGATTGCCGGGCCACCCGACCAGCCAAGGATTGCGGGAGTCAGCCCGTCAGACGGGAAAAGAAAGACCGACAAAAGAACGAAATCAAATGCATAAAGCCGTTTGTAACGTGGGGGCCAGACGGTGGGCTGTGAGAACGAGGCTAGAATGTGGAGATTCAGGGCGCTAATGCATGATCAAAACTCTA